TCTTTGTTGTATTGAAATTTTTTTTTGCAAACATTAAAAGATATAAAAATAAATCTAGAAAAAATTAAATTAAAAATCCTAAAGGTATGTAATTAAGTTTTAATTTTAACGATAAATTATTTAGGGAGTTAAGCCAATCAAGAGAGGTAAGTTTGCTTGAAGTAAAATAGAGTTAAGTGGTATTGTGAATTAATAAATGTAAACTGTTTGTAATGTGAAATGTGTGTTCTGTTGAAAAATTGTGTAAATATTGCAAGGCAATTAAGTAAAAATGAAATGTTTTAAAGCAAAATTTAAAATGTCAAAAAAATTTTCAAAAATTTCGTGAAACAAAGTCCTTAAAAAACCTCTAAAAAAATTCCCAGTAATTTCCAAAAAATCCTTAAAGAAGTTAAATTTAAAGAAAGAAAAAATTGAAAGTTTAGTGAACGTGATTTAATTGGTATATCAAAACTTAACTAAATACTGGCTAAAGTATGGAAAATTAGAAGAAGAAGATTAAAATCTTCACTCAATTCGGGCTATAATTGAGACTTTTCAAAAGAGTTGGCCCTTTATTAGTAAAAGGAAAGAATCCAGTATTGATTAAACATACATATTTACAAAATATTTACAATAAAAATTTACAATAATTTCTCTACTCTTTGATATCCTTCATTACCCTCCAGTTAAGGTTTAAGGTAATGTTATCATATCCAAAAGAGCCAAAAAATTATAAAGTAAAGTCAAGGCCTGCCTTTTTAATATATAAATTAATAAATTTTGGTGGTACTTGGTTATCAACTTGTACATTAATTAGTTTGTGATTTCTTCCTTTAAATCGTCATTTTCAGTACATATATTTTTTATTCTGATAATTTGACTATGAAACTTTTTTTCTATTACTTTTCTAGAGATATTAGAGTTCCAATTAATTAGTTTAATAGTAGGAAAATGGAAATTCCTTCTTTTATCAAATAATTTAATTTTGTTGTGTTTAATAATTTGCAGGTCTAGGAATTCAATAGTATCTTGATTCGTATTCGTTTTATTAAGTGTTAAACTATTTGGGTAAATTTTGAATTTCTCAAAAGTAGAATTATTATTGAAAGTTATAATATCATCTATGTATCTAAAAGTATGAGCAAATAGCTTTAATTCATTTTTATTTAAACTGAGTTGGAATTTATATTCAAATGTAAAAAGAAATAGGTTACAAATTTGTGTAGAACTGTTTGCTCCCATAGGAATTCCTCTAACTTGCTGAAAGATCTTATGATTGAATTTAATGTAGTTATTAAATAATGCACATTTCAGATAAGTATTCCATCTTTCAATACTAAGGATGTCAAGTATGTCAGGAAAAAGTTGTGGGAGTTGCATTAAACTACTAAAAATTTCTTGTAATGGTAGAGAAGTATAAAGGTTTTCAAAGTCATATCAGTTAATGTTCTTGATTGTTAAACTTTTAAAACTGCTGAGAACTGGAGCATTATTATAAATAATCCAACTATAATTGTGTTGTTTGTTAACGAGTTGTTGGACTAAATTGCAAGATTTTTTTAAGCTATAATTGCAAATATGTGATCCTATATTCTTTTTATAATTATTTGTACCATTAGCAATAAATCTAAATTTGAGTGGTGATTTATGAAATTTTTGGAGAGCATATAGATTTGCTAATCTATTGTAGCTAGATGGTTGTGAAATTTGCAGTTTCTTATGAAATGCTTTTAGTTTTTTTGCAATAGCATTTTCTTGTATATTGGTGAGTTTGTAAGTAATGGCATTATTTAGTTCAGTATTAATTAATGAGACATAAAAAATTTTCATATTATGCTAAAATTATTATTGGTTTGTCAATTTTGGTGATTATGAACTTTTCTTTTAAATCCTGTAAAAGAGGAATGAGCATATTCCACTGTAAATTGCTATACAATTCAATTTTTCAAATTCTTTGCTTGAATTCTTCTAATACTGCATGTTTTCAAGCCATAAAGGTAGAATTTGGAATATTTAATTTGAAACTAGTTTTAACTATAAATTTGTGTATATTTTTTATGAAATTTTTAAAAACTGTGAGGTTTGTTAATATTTAGTACTGGTCTAAATTTGGTACTTTTTCCATTAAAATTCTTAAATGCTGGTTTTGAACTATTGCTAAATTTCCTGTAATAATATGCTGATGAAATTTATCTATGAAATCTTTGTATTGAAGCTCTTTGCAGTATCAATGGGCTGCAGAAGCTTATCCTGATTCACAATGAAGACACAAATTTAGAAGCTCAATGTTCATTATCTAGAAAAACTGTCAGGAAGAATTAGCAAAGATATCAATAAACTCTCTGCCAATGAATTCATGAACCAAAACAGTGTTTCTTTGGTTAAATACTTTTCTGAGATTTACGTATATCGATTCTGAGTACTGCAGCTTTGCAGAAAACAGTAAAAGGAGGGAAACTTGTTTAGGCGATCCATTGCTACTCCAGATCATGAAACAAACTTTATCATCGAGGAAAGCTCCTGCTTATATTTAAACATGATTTCAGTACATCAACCTAAAACATTTTATCTCATTTTAACTTCATTCATATACCATTAAATTCATCAAAAGATGCTTCTCTTTTCCTAAAAAAAAGAATATGAACCATAGCTACTAAAGTTCATATTTTCTGTGTTAATTTAGAGCTATTGCAGTATCCTCCGTGGAAAGCTCTAGTTACTTTTAGATAGTAGTGAAGATCAAGTGCTACAACATTTGTGTATATTTGTGTGTGTATGTGCAACTGTATAACAGCCAGCATCGGCAACTACTATATTGATTTGAGTGGCAGGTAGATGTAAAAGGGCTCTCATTGATTTTCAGCTAAACAAACCTCAGTCAGACCATGCTGTTTGCTTTTAGTCATCATATATCCAGTGTTGGTGTTGCTGTGCTTAAGCGAAATGATCTGTATTGTACTGTTGTCTCCTGACAGCTCTGTATTGTATAGTCATCAAGGGAACACAAGATGGTTATCAGTTTTTACAGTCTGTATTTTTCAGGATAAATTGCATAATCGAGATGCTGATGCTTGTTGAGGCTGCAATACTGAATTAACATGCTACCTGCCACTGTGGTATTATCTTCCAGACTTGTGAATGAATTTTGACAGCTGACAATGATCACATTTAGCCATTATCTCTTTAAGGTAGCAATGGTATTATAAATTGGAAATTTAGCCAGAATTCTTGTACTCACACTGCTTCTTTGCAATGGTTGTCTATGAAAATCCAAACTTAATATCTGATTCCAAAATGTTATGCCTATCCTCATGAATACCAGCTATGACACCACACTGAAAATTGCTTAAATTACATTGCTATTTTTCATTCTCATGCCATAGACAGTTTTGAAGGCTGACTGGGATGAATAATGTAATGTGCAAAGGTGTCATTGCTGTGCATTTTAGAAAAACTCTTCTGCCACCCCAATCAATATAGTGTTTAGCGATGTTGGCTGCTGTATCAATGGGCCCGGGTTTGAATTCCGGAGAAGGCATAGATGTTTGTAAATATATAGCGCCTATGTAGCATAGGGACACTTAAAAAAACTGGTGAGCTAAAAGTTCTCTTGAATGATTTTGGTGGTAGAGGAAGAAGGGTGAGAAACCCTCAGATCCATCTCTCAATATGTTCATCATCAGAATCGGGATGGAGCTATACAGTTAGTGTGATGGAACTTCTGGCCAATTGTGAAAATTCTGGTTTTTATGTACTTCTTCCTCTACAAGAATTTCTGCCACTTGAATATATTTCTTTTGCATGATATGTAATATGTGACTTCATAAATATTATTTATAAATTAAATTAATAATGCTATTTTTAAGGTCTTTTCATAATAAAGTCTGTTTTAAGTCTTTTGTGTTTCTTTATAATAGTCTCCTATTATTTTAATATATTCTTTTCTTTAATAATAATAATAAGCAATGTTTTATTGCCCCTTCTTTCTGTAAGGTAACACTAGACTGTTATCTTAATATGTACAGGGTGTTTGGGATTTGACAGTTTCGTAAGGAAAAAGAAAATCCGCTTTGTATCTATTAAATTTAATGAATTGACAAAAAAAAATTACAGGCAAAGTAAATTACAATACTATCAACATGATATTCACTCAAAATAACCACCATTAGCATCGATCACAGCTTTAATCCTGCTTCAAAACCTCAAACAAGCTGATGCTACTGTCTCCCTGGGAAGGGCCTCAAAAACTGTTTTAATTTTATCCATTAATTGGGCTTTTGTATTACTGGAAGTGTGATTGGTATCTTTTTCAACTGCATCCCATACAAAATAATCCATGGGGTTTAGGTCTGGGGAGTTTGGAGGCCAAATATTTGGACTGGTGAAGTCGTAGAAATTTTCAAACAACCATTTTTTACTTTTGCCAGAGGTGTGGTAAGGGGCTGAATCCTACTTTCATACATACGGCCTGCCTTTGGCTACCCTTCTCCCAAGGCTTGACTACAGTGTTTAGCACGTGACAAAGCTGAATTCCAATGCCAGGGTTCTTCAACACCTGTTCCTGCAGATTTGCAAGGAATTCTGCTGTACGAACGCAATCAGATGGTCTGCTAGGGATCTTTCTTCTTGCTACAGCATCATAGTCACCATTGCAACTATCTAGTTCATGCCTGATTGTTTTTACTGTGTTCAGGGAGCATTGGGCAGCAGTCATAATATCCTTATTTTGATGGCCGGCATGAGTCATCATGATTTCTCTTCCATGATTCAGGTGGGTTCCAGTCACCCATCATTTCTGACATCCTGTATATGAATGAAGAAGGGTCCAAACTTTTAAATGATGAGTAGTGTGTGTCAATACCTCCAACCTACAGAAAAATATATAATCAATTATAAATATGTCAAATTTATCCCGAACACCCTGTATATTATAGTTAAATGTATTATTAATTAATCAAAAAGCTAGAAATAAATAGTTAAACATAATTCAATTTAACTTTTATTTATATAATTTTCAGAGCATCAAGGACTGTGGGAGAACGTATTTATTCTGGTGATAGTCCAAAAATTGAATATGAAAAAACCAAAAAGGAAACCAATCCTCTAGCAGAGTTTCTAAAAGCTCTGTATTCTCTCCCTTCTCTTCAATTTTTTGCTATTGTTAAGACTAAATTGGTAAGTATCAAAAATATTAAAATGTATATGAAATTAGAAGTTATTTTCTTATACATAGTGTGTGTTTATGTATGTGTTCCTCTTTATTTATTTAGTTTCCTGAGATGTTTTATTGTTGTTAAGTAACTGTAACAGATTTTATTTTCAATAATTTAGCTGATAAGAAGATTGTATGATTTTGAACTTTCTTTCATTACTTCAGCCATGGTTGTTTAGTTATTTTTAATAGGTGTGTATTTGGCATTTTCATATAAATACAGCAAGAACTGCATAGCTGTTAGTTTAGAAGGGAAAAAGGTGGCCTAAGCCGAATTTCTGAGTACTTACTTGCTGTTGTGTACAGGGTTTGTACGGTCCTTAAGAGTCCTTAAAAGTCCTTAGATTTTTTGGAATCGATTTTTGGTGTCTTTAATTTTGGCCAAAATCAGCAGAAGGTCCTTAATTTTAATCATCTGAAATTTCTGTCTGTTTTTACGACTGTCATTTTGAGTGTGAATTAGCATTTTGAGGAATATTTTTGGTTATTCACTGTCGTACATATAGTTATCTTTTGAATGGGTTCATGAGATATAATTTGTTTCCATTTCTAATATAAATGATGGGATACTCAAGTTTCTAAGTAAGAAGTGAAACATGTGTATTTCGAAACTTCATTTTTTCTAGTAAAGAACTCTTAAACAACTTTTCGCTTTTGGATATGTGAATTCTTTCATTAAACGGTTCTAAATTTGGCGACTTTTCAACATTTTGGTGATTTTAAGATCAGTTTCTGTAGAAACTTTTTAATTCCGAGATCTGAGAATTTTTCAACGATTTTTCTTAAAACATCGTAACATTGATAAATTTCAGTAAAATAATGGTAATACAGTCAAAAGTCGTTAATTCGGACACCCATAATCCAGAATGTTCTATAATCCGGACCACAAAGCTAAAATCTTTCTGCGCATGCGCCGCGTTGACGCATGCGCATAGGCGTTTTACGCGTGCGCGCAAGACATTTACGACTGCGCATATGCGTCTGCACAAGCGCAGAATACGTTTTCGTGTGTGCGTTTAATGTATAACGAACAGTGTAAGCTAAAATTATCTAATTATCTATTTCAGTTAATGTTGATGATTGCGTTGTTCCTTAATCTTCGAATTGGATCCGGCTTATTATTTTTTGCAGACTGTAAGAGCAATTTTATAAAAGTAAGCTTGAACTTTCGATTATGTCAAATAGAATTTCCAATGCTGGAGCTCCCAAAGGATCTAGAAAACGAAAGCATGTTTCGAAGTCCATCAAACAAAAAACGAATTGCTACAAAAAATGGATAAAGGCATATTCCTTTGTTTATCTAATTGTTTCGAAATCTGTTTATCAATTTCACGCTGCTCTGCGCGGGGGGGGGGACGTCGCAGTGCGCAATGAACTGGAAGTTGATCTGTCAGCACTATCATTATCTTCAGGGCAGATGTTTTTATTTTATTCGGGTTATAATTCCTTACTAAATGTAGTAATTTAATCTCGATGTACTCCGTCTTTGATATGATTTAAATCAAATTCCTCATCATTATAAATATCACGGATACAAATCAAATAGTTTTCTGGTTGCAATTTTCTAATTTCGGCTATGCGTGTAAGGTATGCTTTATGCATGCGCGCGTTGAAAGAAATGTTTAATAAAGTAAACAAATAAATATTAAGCTTCTTTTTTGTACATTTTGATACCCTTTAGATCATAATTGCTCATTATTTTATAAATTACGGTTTCATATTTTTAATTTTATAATTTCTGCGTGCCATCTTACCAGATTTAAACTGATGATCTATAATCCGGAAAAATCGATAATCCGGAATCGCTGAAGTCCCGACGAGTCCGGATTAAAGACTTTTGACTGTGTATTGAAATTATATTTAAAAATAACATTAAAATAAAACATTTCTATTTTTCGCTGTCATATTGTAAAGTTTCATTTTGGCAACTTATTATACAGTATTTTAAATCTAAAAAATAAACACGGTATAATGCTATAAAACACAATTTACGAAACAGCTCTTAGCAAAAGCAAAATTAACTATGTAATTAATAAAAATATCTTGTTCTTAATTTTTCATAGTAAGAGGTTATCCCATGTAATTGTGTCAGAATATTCAAAATTCTCAAAATATGCATCAGTTTTCTCTGTAAAATTAATTTTACACCATTTTCCTCCTTTTTTCCTCCAAAATATTTCTCTCTTTTTGCTGTTATAAAAATGGTAGTGATAATTGTTCTTTAGGATTTTAGACATTGCAGCTTGGAAAGTTTAGAAGGATTTGAAGACAAGATTTATAGACTCACATGATTCTGGAAGATTCCAGAAAATTGTGACAAAATGAAAAATGTCTCCATGGTATCAACACATAATGACATATTTTTACAGAAAGTTTGCAGTTGATTTTCTTACTTTTGGGGAGAATGTCTGGAAAGAACAATGAAAACATAATAAACATAATATTTGAATGTTTTACTTCTTGATACTAGAATCTTTTTCTTAATATTGTTTATCTTCTCCTTTGTTTTCTCTACTTTTCACTAGACACAAGCATGGCAAATATCAAATATGCTTCTGAATCTTATCACATGGACAGGCACTTATAGAAAAGAATTTTTTTATTAATAAAGAAATTTAAAACTGGCAAATTTAAAAGATTCATCTAATATGTTTTAATGCATCATTACATAACTGGCATTATAGGCATTTAGAGTCTGTGCAATGATGATGCTGCAATGTCATTGGATTCCCAAATTCTGATGGAATCTCTAGTGGATTTTTAAATTCTTCTTCCAATGCCTGCTTCTAAATTCTAAAAGTTTTGAGAGTTTCTAGATTTTGTTACTTTGGTGTGTCACTAAATTCTAAAAATTCTATCACACGTCAGCTCTGTGTAACTGGACCTTTAACCATATATATTTCATATTTCTTCTGAATGTTCATATTACTAAAGGAAAAAAAATAGCCGCTTTTCCGCTTTTTATGTACATTCTAAATGAATGCATTTAGTTTTTTTTTTTTTTTTTTTTTACCTTTGTCTCATATTGTAGTTAATTTCAGATATAGCGATAATATGCTTCACATCTGTTGGGGGTTTTGGACTATTTAACTTTTACCAGATCAATTAAACCCTCATAGGTACATTGGGAAGAGGTTTGACAAGTTAGGAGATAAAGCATGCAGAAACTAGCGAGAGCATTAGTTTGCACATTAAGACAGATCTCTAATTGTTAGAAAAAATGCTTAAAAGAGAAGGAAATCGATATAAACTAGCCAAATGTCTGGGAAGGCTTCAAATTAAAATGATGGATAAATATTTTGTTGACTTTTGTTATCTTAATTAAATGTGTAATTATCTCAATATTGTTTAAGAATCTGTGTCATAAATTACATGTATTTTAAACTGTGAAATTTTATTAGATTTTGATTTTAATAGGGCTTTTTTAACAAATATTTTAAAAAAAAAAAAATAAAATTAATAGTGGTCATGTAAATCCATAGTGATTAAGGTTATCAAACTACCTAATTTAATTATTTATAACTAACTGCTTACCCTTTAAAATTATCTCTACATATTAAAGTGAGTTATTGCATTTCATTAATACTCACTGGTCGCAAGATAAAATAAACATTACATTTTTAATGTAAAAATTCAAGTAAAACATATTCTATGCATCTACTGAGATTTAAAATAATACAAACAACTTATTACTTCTGGTGCTTTAATGGCTTATTGGAACCTTAAAGTATATTAATTGGGTTACAACCCTTGGAACTCTACACGAAGCTACGAACAGAGCCTGACTAACTTTCAACACTTGCCATCCGTGCCTACATCAAGCTTTCAGGCTTGTTTTAATCAGCAGGTCTGTATCTAGAAAAGCAGCGGTGACAACATTCAGTCTTTTGTTATGAATTATGCTGATTATGATCTTATTTCTCATTTTAACCTATGTCATTTGACGCAAAATCTACCTGCTATTTACTTAACCTCTAGACTGACCAAGTATGTGACAAAATGAGATATAAAAGAAATCAACATAACGCTAACTGTTAGTAAAATGTAAATGTCACTTATCTTCTTTCAAATATGACCAACTATAACATGTGTAAAATATTTAATGCTACTTGATAAATTGCAAAACGCTTATTTTATTCTCAAACTTGTTAACAATTATGTTAATTAATTCATGTTTAGTAATAATGCATACATACTACTTAGGGATCTATTTTATTTTTAGGATGGTATTACAAAAGTGAAATTCAGTCATAGATAATATCTTCAATTGAATTTATTCAGTTCCCATTTGCTCATAAGTCCTTAGTTTTTTTCATTAATGGTTCTTAAAAGTCCTTAAAAGTACTTAATTTCCGTGTGCAGAAATGTGTATGAACCCTGTGTGTAGATAATTCCAAAAATTTGCAATTTTATATGAAGAGTGTTCGGTTTAAAGGTACATACTTATGTGCATTTTTGCTGATTTTCCCTCTTTCTCTATTGTTTCGTAATGCATAAAAAATTAACAGATCATTTTAGTGTGTATGGAGGAGAGATAAATTTTTCAAAGCCAAAAGCAGATTTTACTATTTTTTGGTGTAGAGCAAGTACTGAACACTCATAATATGTGTCATAACTCATTGCTATTTTGTAGTAGTTTCATTGTGACATAAGTATTTTTTGCAGATGAGACGTGGCTTTTGTCTGAGGAAAAATTCATAAGAGAAATTATCACATATCATGCTTTGAAACTTTGTATCTGTTGGTCTTTGCATTTAGAAAAATTGTTCTCAGATGTTCCATGTCAAGACTGAATTATTAGACCCCTATGTTTTTTTAAATAATCATGGGTTGTAAGATGTACCAAGACATTGCCTGAAAGTTCTTTGCGTAACTGCAAGAGAAGGAACATCCCTGTTGAATATGGTATAATGGGGTGGCATGATGTGTCATACAGCAGAGTTCACCTTTAAAGTGCTAAAGA